ACCCAAAACTGTGATCCAGAAAACTACTAACAGCTTTCACACACACACTTCTTGTCCTTGTGTTTACTTCTTGTCCTTTCAAGAAGTAAGCACATAGTGTGTTCAGAAATGCATCTCTCAAGCTCATAGTCCTACTTACATTCCCTCCCTGATGCTGGTTAGTCATCTCTGCTATCACAGTGACCACTGCATCTTTTTATTCTCTCCCTGGCATCAAGAACAGCAAGACCACACCAACATCCCTGTGGTGTTGCTAAATTTCATGTAGACTTGTTTTCTAGTGGGGACCATCTGTAGCTTATGCTGCTGCTCTGTCAGGGACTTCTATACCAGGAGGAAGAAAGGATCTAAAAATGTTACAAGTGATATCTCCAGATTTCTAAACACTGTATCAACTGTACTATGGTCCTTACCCTACCAAAGTCCCCAGGAAGTAGGAAAATGCTGTTTACCCCCATTTTAGCGATGTGGAACCAAGGCACACAGCAAGATTAAGTGACTTGCCAAGTCATGATGGATGTTCCCAGCTAGAGAAGAGGGCTCTTGATGCTAGCTCGCCTTCTTGCCACAGGATGATGCTTTTCTTATTTAGCATGCTGCACTGCTGAGGTGACGCAGGATTTCGCATACCAGTAACTTTACAGTAATACTTAGGAGTGCACACGTTTTGGAGAGGAAAGGTTTAATGTTGTACTTCTTTTCTCCTTCTTTTGAACATGATGATGCAGTACCGAAACATTTTTTTTTTTTAGAGCATGCAGCTTTTCATCATGCTAAAGAGGCATTGACTCATCAATTTGTGTGTGTGCTGGGGGCGGGGGGGGCATGTGGCAAGATGGCTGCAACTCTCAATGCAATCAGATTGCAAACGGCCTGCTCTGTAATCAGTGGGACAAGAATTCAAGTGCCTCCTGAATGCAGCAGTAAAAGGCTTTCTGCACAGCAGTAGAAATAACTAGCACTTTTTCGGAGAAAAGAGAAAGAAACAGTGCCCGTTATGATATAACCTGTGCCAGTCTGCTGCCTTGGGCGGTCCTCAGAAGTGCAGGAATGAGGAGAGGGAAACACTGCTTTTGAACTGGCAGCCTTCACAAGGCAGAAGCCATCTAGGTTTTACCTGGTCAATTTGGGGGATCTCCAGTGAAATGAGAAAAACAGGAAAGAGGAGCTGTGAGTGCAGCCAGCTGATGGTTTGCAGTGAATGTTGCAAGCAAACGTGCAGCTGGGCTGACCCAGTATCACTCACATAGCTCTCTTAATTGCTGAAATTGCCTCTAGTAACATGCAACTCCTCAGCCCAGGGCTGCAGGTACAAGTAAAACCTGTGAGTGAAAGAGGATGGATGGTGCTGTAGACTGTATTTTCCTTGTGGCAAAGTGGCACTTCCTGTAAATAAAGGGAAAAAACAAGAGAAGTATAACCCTATCCTAGGAGTCGTCCTCCAGCTCACCCTTCGCATTCCAAAAAATATGAACATAAATGTACCTATACTTTGTTCCTGGAATGTCCATGCTGCTTAGGAGTGAAGGAAATTTGTCTAGTACCTCTTTCACTCTGGGAGGGTTGGGTATAGGTTTAGATTTACGTAGCAAGTGTGGCTGAAGACCTATAATCCCAAGTGAGAAAGGTCAATCTGAATAACCAGTTAGGTTCTTTCTGGGAGTAAGCTGTGTCCTGTTTTTGCAGCAAGAGAGCCAAGCTGAAGGACACAGCTGTGTTTAAGTTATCAGCAAAGATCTTACTGCAATAAGGTACTGAGGCTCACTAAGCCACACGCCCTTCCATCACAGTATTTGGTGTGTGGGTAAACCCAAGGGATGTAGGTGAGTGTTGCAGACCTGTAGGGCTCTGTCATGCAAATCTGCCCAGAGCAGGGGCCTCCCAGCTGTGCGTTTTTGAGTACCACCTCTGCAACCTGCAGCACGCTTTGGCTTGGAACATTGTTCTCCATCGCACGCAGCAGGTCTCTAATGGATCAAACTGTAAACCTTTCAATTGTCATCAGTTGTCTATGTTTGATATTGGAGACTAAAAGACATGTTTTAAAGCGATACTATTATTATAATTTCGTTTTCATTTCATACCTGTAGGCTCTTTCATCAAATGCTATAGAACACTACATTGCTTATCATGGTAAGAACTTTACACAGCTAGGTTTTACCTTAGAGTAATAAGCAGTGTATTAGTGCTTTTTTTAATTTTTGTAGACTTAGTTTCCCCTATGCAACTAAAAATATAATTCATCTCAGTATCTGGCTCAAGAATTATGGATGTTAATGTATTTTGGGCTAATAGGGATCATGAATATCTTTGAGTATTCTGGGGCTTCTGGGTTTTTAATCGGATTTGCGAAACAGTAAAAAGAAAGGCAGGACTGCAGTATGCAGAGAAGATATTTTAGATCATCAGTTAGCTCAAAAGGACAAGATATAATTTATTTTAAAGGAGTTTTCAGAATTTAAAACGATCCATCAAAAAGGCAGTAGAAGTTTAAATTTGCATTAAAAAACCTACAAGAGAAATTGATGGCAGTTCAGCCTAAAGGCAGAATGGCCTCACTAAAGCCCTGAGTAGATAAGACAGTAGAAAAAAATGCCATTTTAGAGATATATTCATATACTTAATGATATTACTCTGCACAAAGCCCATGCTATCTTGTTGCACTGAGTAACTTAGAGAAATGAAAATAACATTCAAAGCCTCCTTAGAAAGCCTTTACCATATGGCTAGTTTTGTCTTCTGTGCATTCTCCTACATCAGCTCACCACACTATTACGTGTTCGTTTTACATGCTGGGATCTGTATAGATTGAAGGAGATTTCCATTTGATTTTTCAGTATCATGGAGGTGTCTTTTCAAATACCTTGAGGGCTGCTATGAAATTCCTGATCTACATTACCACCAACAATGATTTGTTTTTAAGTAGAAAACATTTATAACCTGGATTGTGTGAAGTAAACAGAAAGATCTCCAGCAACTGGGATTCTCTTGAGACACCTATATAGACCACCTACCTGCATGGAAATGAGTGATGATTTATATAACTCAGCATACAATAACCATTGAACAATCACCCGTTGATCTCTGCACTTTATGTGATGCTACATCATAGAAGCACCTTGTAACACCTCTGCTAGTGAAGAACTGTAACTGCTCAATTCCATGTAACCATAAACACGTCAAAAATCAGTTTAGCCAAAGATCATATGTACCAGAAGAACAATTCATTTGATTCCTAATTTTTCTTGCTGAAAGCTTTCTTTTACTTTCCTTCAGTCTGGCAAATAATAAAGAAAAGGCTTAACCCCTCCTCAGCTGTACATTACCTTCTTAAATCCATGCCCCAGGGTAAAGTAATATTCTTTATGTGGCAAGAGCACTATCATGCCTCTGAGGATCTCAAATAACTTTTCAAATATTAAAGTCTCCCAGTACCATTGTGAGATATTTATGAATACGTGGCAGCAACCTTCATTTTGCAGATCAGGAATCTGAGGTGCAGAAAAGTTAAACAACTTGGCCAAGATTACAAAATAAGATAGTGGAGGAGCAAAGAACATGGAGTCATTGACTTTCAGTCATGTGCTTTAAGAGGTAGAAGATGCTCCTTCTGAGAATAGGGAAGGAAAGAAAAAAAGAGGGGAAATGGGAATAAGAAACTAGAGATGTTTTAGGTAAGAATTAAGATACATTGGCAGAGTGGTGTATGAGATATAAGGGAAAATCACAGTAGCTTCCAGCTGAAATACATCCATAGAGGGAGAGATATGCAGCCTGCTGGAATAAGCTCTCAAATGATCAGTCAGCCTTCAAATGGAAATGTGGATTTGAGACCTATCAGTCGGGACATCTTCAGACAATTTATACCTATGACCAAGTAATACTGGCTGCTGTTCAATATCCGATCAGCTGAAGGAATCTTTACTAGCGAGCGTGAATGATTGCGCTGCGGGATATAGATGGAGCAGAACTGAATGTGCTGGGGAGACAGCCCCATGCATCTTAGCTATCTCATTGCCTTCGTTTTATGGTACAAAATCATCAATCAAAGCTGATCCCATGGAAGTTACTTCTAAAGGAGAATCAGGGAGCTAGAGTTCTACATTACCTGCAAACTCATTTAAAAATATATATTTCTAAACCCAAAACCCCTTGCTTACAGGTAAGCAACAAGAAGGTTTTCAATTCAGTGGGAGCACAACTCGTTCAAAGCTGTGCCCTTTGGACAATCCCACACAAATTATTTTTGGTCAAATTTTGTCCTTCTAACAAGTCACATCTTTCACTACTGTCTTTTAGCAAATGAAGAAGCCAAAATTCAAACACTAACAATGATCTAATTTCTTCATTTATATACATAAATATTTCAATCAAAAGATCGATTCACTGCCAATCTGTTCTTGTGTGTCCTCTTTAAAAAAAAAAAAAGATGGCTTGAATAGTCTTTCAGTACAAAACCAGTTTTTGTATCACATACCAGTGATCTGTGTGTGCGTGAAGTTAGAAATCACTGGTTGTCACAAAATCAGGCTGTGCAAAATTTCTTTCGGAAAACTCGTCACACAAACTGGGATATTGGGTGTGAGATTAAAAAATACAAATGAAACAAAATAAGAATTCCCAAACGTAAGAGATTATAAATTTGGGTAGCCAAAATACAACCCATTCAAAAGCCAGCCAGATCGTTTGGATTAAGTAGGCATATTTTAAGACATGCAATCCTGATGTGATGGATCATGCCCTCCACGCCAGATCTGTTTACAGCTACGGTCTGAACCCATCGTAACAGCTGGACCTGTCAGGCTTTTGAAAAATTGCTACTCAGGCCACAGACTGAGTGGGCATGTTCAGGTGCCCATGGTATAAGGTGCTAACATTAGAAGTGCCCATGCTTCAGGCCAGGTATCTCTTGAAACACTTGATTACCCTTTTTCTCAGAATATGGAAGTTGAAAGCAGGCAGCCTTGTGGCAGAGAGAGAAATAAAGACAACAACTGCAAAACCGTGTTGTTTTTATTTTAAACATGCAAAATACAGTTCATGCATCTGCCATTTTGAAAAATCTCTCAGTTCATAGCAGATTAAACCAAAGACATTTTGGCTATCGACTCTCAATAAATATTTCAAAATGCTTTACAGTGTAAAGATAAGAAATTTAGCAAAATTTCAACAAACCTGTATAAAAAACAGATACAGATAACTCTTTATTTCAAGGCGACATGCTGTAATGTAAAGAGTTCACTTTTTTTTTTCTGGATTTTTTTTCTCATAAAAAGTTTTCAACAATACAACTGCTTAATAGATTAAAGCCTTCAGGCTACACATGCAAAAAAAATGATTATTTTAGTTAAAAATCACCAAAACGTGCTATTTTTTTTGTTTCATTTTTAAGTACAGTAGTTGTGGACGGTAGCTTTTTTCGTCTTTAATTTTGTAAAAGAGTGCAGGCAGGTTCATGGAGCTAGTGTCCTGGAAGACTCGTACTCTGACATACATTTTGGTTTTATCCCTTTGCCATTGTAATAGTCCACGACTTGGTTTGGAACTTCAGCCAAAACGCTTTTTGCTAGAGCAGCTGGGGATGCCTGCAGGAAATGGTAGAAAACACAAGTGTTAACCTGTCTCTCTGCTAGAAGTGCCATGGGTTTTAGAGGCATTGGTGCCGTGAGATCAAGGTAGGAAGTATGGTACAGAAATGGAAGGCAAAGAAGACTCAAAGAGAGTGGCACTATTGCTGGAAACTCATTTTGTGAGTGAGTTTGGGCATGTAGTGGTAGCTGCATGAAAGTACACTAAACCCAGAAGTGCTCTGCATGTTTTCCAGGTCCGTTTGGACTATTTTAAGTTTAGGGTTAACTGAACTTCCCTGCACTAGAGCACTATATCACAATGAAAAGGGCTGCAAAGACTTCGTTAGTCAGGACTAGGTGAGGAACCCTGCAGAGCTTCAAGGTGAATATGAATGGATGTCACTGTAAAAGGGAGGCCTTCGTCACCCCTCTGCTCTTCAGGATCTGGCATGGTATTTTACTGGCTGGGGAAGTTTTTGGTTCAATAGAAATGGTAATGAGAAGACTTCAGTCCTAGGCTTTGTGGTGGCTTTAAACTTTTTCCTGCAACGTATAAATGGTGGCTGTCAACCAGACTTAAGAACTGATGACTCTGAAACGTAGAGATGGATATAGAGTTGGCCACTGGCTTTTGCCCCAGGCAGAGAGGAAGGCTACCTCTCAGTGCAGAGAGAAACCACGTCCTCCATCGACAACACACAGTTGCTGCCTCACCCCTGGCAATGCTTCACCTTAAACAGGGGGGCCTGTGTATGTTTTGTGGGCAGCCCTTACCTGCATGTGCTGCAGGGATTTTCCTCAGCCCCTGTGTACAGCAGTGGCAGAAAGGGGCTCCTGCTCTTCCACACAGCTCAATAGCACCTTCCTGCTCTCTGTTTTGCATTTGCTTGTTTCTAGGTATTTAGGTAGAGGTGATTCCAGCCTGCCGGACTATGTTCCCTCTGAGCCCACCATAAAAATGCAGTAAAAATGCAAATGCTTAAACTTCAGTTTGAGAATTTTAAACGAATGTATTTATCCCCAGATAGAGCACACATGGATCACACATTGCAGCTCAGCAGATGCACAGCAACTCCTCAACGGGTGGCTGGGTCACAATTCTTCTGCACACCAAGTACCTTTTCCCACACTAATGAACACCTTCCTTCTCACTATCTGTAACATTTTCAGCCAGGTTTGAAAACTATCATGTCACAAAGTATTTGTATTGACTATTTATTGCCCTACTCTATTTAATGGGGTAGGGTTCTTGTCTTTCCAGAGTCTTAAAATTAGGCTTACATAGGATGGTAAAGTCTTCATAGGCAAGCTAATCCAGGGGTGCAGAAAGCCCCTGGACCATTATAAATTCCAGTATCAGGTGTTACAATATTACAAATAAAAAGATAATGCTAGCAAAACTAGAAACAAAACTATTTTTTGTATTTTGGTATTTTAAGTCACTAATGTGATTAGTAATGAATAAAATGAACCCTTATTTCCCTACTTTGACATTTATACCAAAATATTTGTGCAGGCAAAAAAGCCTGGAACATTTCTGCATGAACAAAACAGCGCAGCAACTGTTCTCAGGTGTTACATGTAACAGAACCCATTTATTTTAATCCTTCAAACTTAAATGCATGGGTTTCCACAGTTGTTGCCTAAACCATTTTTCACTGAAATCAGTAGAAAATACCTCTTGGAGTCTGGCAAATGGCTGATTTCTATGTTGCTACCGAGAATTACTGTTTTTTTGATCTCGTCCCGGTGTGCTAAAGCTGCATATACCTTAGCCTGCTGCTGTGCCCTCTTACCAAAACCACAACCCTACTTTATGTAAAATAAAGTAAAAATGGAGTGGTGGAAGACTCCTGGACCATCGCTGCACACTTAAGCCCTAGCAATCAGGAAACTTCCCTCTGCTCTATCTTTAAAAACGCTGGGCAGAAGCACTTGTCACCAGCTTCTCTGGATCACGTGTAGTCAACATGTTTGCACATCGGGCCAACACTCATCTCTCTGCATCACCCTCCAGTCACCACTTCTCTCTCTTCTGACACCACATCCATTCTTCCTGAGCGAAGGGTCAGTCCTTCAGAACAGGCTCTGTCAGGGCTCAGGTGCACGGCTGAATCACCACCACTTGAGGAATCAACTGTGCTACATGCTCCTCACCCAGTGTCCACGTGCAGTAAAAAGCCTTTCTCTGAGGCTTAATCTAACATGTTTACTGTGCCCACAGGCTCGCAGGCTACGTGTGGCCCCACATAGGGTTGCCCCGGGCTAGCTCGCTTGACTCCCCGCTTCAGTCTGAACATGGACAACTGTTGCGTTACAGAGTTTCATCATTCCAAGAGATGTCTGTTGGTCCTGGGGCTCTGTCTAGTAGGGAGCATCCCAAAACCGGGGGTAGGGGTGACTTCTGCCTGACGGTTCAGGCCACCTGCACCTTATGTGCTTTTGTGGTGGTAAAGCACTCTCACTTCTAGACCAGATAGTACAAAGCAGCATTTGTAGAAGTGAGAATCAGACCCAGTAACTTCTGAACTAAAAGGCAGTCCCAGCTCAGCTGCACTGTGTAAGGGTTACCTTCACTGGGTTTTTAATGCAGATGTTTTACTTAATACATTAATGTTTTACTTAATGTTTTCTCCACTGTTTAACTGCTATGCTTGAAGAGCATCCTATCAATAATCACCTCAAGACAAACAGTTCTTAACTTACGGCTAATACACAAAAATCAGATCAGCCAGCAGCAGGAAAATAATCCCTTATGATGATAATTGGTGTATATTACAAATGACTGTTGATTCAGTTCTATAGCTTCACCGTGCTTAATCTTTAATTACAATGCATCATGCAAAACATCGCTCCTTGCAGTGCTTAAGAACTGCTTTCCACACTTATTTGTGACATATGTGCTATTAAGTCACAGTTGTTAGTCTTTATGATTAAATACAATGCAGAATGGAATACAATCTACCTGTGGCATCAGAGTTGGGCACAGGAAATATATCATGCATCCTAAAGGCAGAGAATGTCAGCTCTTAAAATATGACTGTCAATGGATTGAGACAGCTGATTTTCTTCAACTACATTTCAGTGATTGTGAGCATCACTGTTTTACAATTTCAGGTGAAACATTGCGGGGGTGGTGATAATTATAGAGAGAAGAAAGTCACTTGAGTTCAGGGAAAATATTTTTGCTTCGTTTGTTACGTTCCTCTGTAGTAAATCATACATGTCACCCTCTATACAGTGGGACCTCTTTTTTAAGCAGTAATGGTTACCTTGATTTTATCAAGCTTCTGCAACTACAGGATTTGGCACGAATCACTACAATTATTATGATTATTTTGATGCCTTCAAAGATATTCCTTAAAGAGAGTCAAAAAGGTAAGATGTTTTACTGAAGTACTCCTGATACACTAAATCATGTAGGAGATTAAACCCCTATAATAAAGCTTTCTGTCTACATTGTGTCTTGAGCTAGTAAAACTTTGAAGTGAGTAGAGGTTTTAGGTATGTGAATAATTGTAACTAATTGAAATGTGCTAAATGCCTGTATGAGTGCCATGCAGGATCAGGACCTTCTTTGAAGCCAAGCTTATAAAAGATAAGGGATTCACTCTCTAGGTTATTTTTACAACTTCCTTCTCCCTCTTCTCAATTTTCTCACAGGAGCAGCTTTTGGATAGATTATTTTTGGTCTGTTTGGATAGATATGAGATTTTGAGTTCCAGGTTGACCTGAGAATTGAAGTAATGAAAAAAAATATTGTTTGGATTGACTGCAAATGCATTTTGGTTTACTGTTCCAGCAAAACAAAAAATAATTGCTCACAAATAACATCTTCCCTCCTTCCATCAGTAGTAGAGGTAATACGGATTTAGGCATAAATAAATACTCAGTTTACCAGAAAAACCTATAAGACTTGTACAACTTCATTTGTGGTCTTTCTAAAAAGGCCCTTCAACTTTTTTTTTTTTTCTATTTAATGGCTGAACAACCTAAATATCAAAACTAAACACAAGGTACATTGGCAAAAGGGATGTGACTTTTGACTAAATACATCTTTTACTTAAAGCTGTCAAATGTAATATGCTGATTTATGTCAATTTTCTTGTGTTTGATCAGAACTGTTCTGACAAAAATCTCCCAAATGTGTTAAATCCACATTTCTCTGTGGGGAAAATTAAGTTTGAATCAAAACATCACACTCATTTCTCGCACGAAAAATTATTTCACTAGTTGATGCAAAAGGCATGGTCTTTTGTTTGAGCTGAGGATAATTAAGCTAGATAGCTGTGAATGTCACTTTGTTCAGAAAGAGAGAGATTATTTGGGATATGACAATAAAGAAATTCAATCAGAAGTGGCTATTGTTATGGGCACTCATCCATTACACTGACATTTGTTGAAATGCTGAAAGATGACAATGAACAGACTAAATATCGAGTTGCATGATATATTGACATTTCTGATCTAGCAAATACATTATCTATCTCTATATCTATATTATCTCTGCTACTGAGAGAAAGGGGGAGAAAAATATCACTATTTAACAAGAGCAATAAATTTTTAAGATTGCTATCCTCTCCCATTACTGGGGAGGTTAATCTAAAACAGCTAAAAATAATATATGCTTGTCATTTAACCAATGCTAGCAATTAAAATTACACATAGACTCACTCACAAGTTAACACCAGAGGCACAATATATTCAGTGCCCAGAACTGCATCTGTCAGCGTTAATCTATTCAATCCAGGATGATTTCAACTTTGTTATAAAATCACAAAATGAAACTAAAAATAACAAATGCAGCTGGCTTTGTCAGTTCCTTGCAGAAACATGTTTTCGGCTAATTGAAAGTAGGTCTAGCACTAGCCCACAAATAACTTGCCTCTTGACACTTTTACAATAGACTACAGTGCCGCGCTACACACTTGTGATTATGTGATGAAGGAGAATCACAAGCTACGAGCAGGTCATCCTCATACTTCCTTCCAGCAGATACTTAATAGGTGACTGAGTGGCGCTGTCAGCGTAGCGTGTCATATGTATGTATGTATCTACAATTCAGTGGCAAATCTGCAGCCATTTGGCATGGTAACGTGGAGCTAATAGCATAAGGTGAGTTTTACACCATATCAGGACCCATTCTTTACATAAAGGTAGAAGGAAATGAGGAACAAGTCTGTTTCTCTTACTCCTTGGCAGAGTTTGTGAAGGTCTAGATCTAAGACAAGTACAGCGGAATTGTATTTTGAAGAGAGAAAAAAGAACAACTCTTGAGGAAAGGAAAATAAAATGAAGGTATTTTGGAACTGGCAAAAAGAAAAAAAAGTCTCCCGCGGTAACAAAAAGCCTAGAAAAACTAGAGAAATGTAAGCACTGCAAACCCATACGTGGACCAAAACCAACCCAGAATTGAAAACTTCTGTGTGACAAATCCAGATCTAAGGATCATGGGTGTATGAGAGCAGATTGGAAAGGGCAATCTCATGAGACGAATGAGTCAGTTATGCTGCGGGGTAAAGAAATTTTCAAATCAAATACCAGATATCCTTCCTTGAGACTCGGGTGAGCAAAAAAACAGCCTGGAGGACCACTTAAATATAACAGAAGGAATGTGGGAAAGGAAGGGAGAGAAAAATGGAAAAAGAGAGGGAAAGGGATGTGATCAGTATCACAGAGGAACACAACGGCCATTTCGTGCCTTCATATGCAGGAAAGGGGCCCTGAAAAACCTGTCTGTGAGTGGGAAAGCTCCTTCTGTGGGTGAACACTGTCTCTACCCAGCTGCCGAAAAAATCCCAGGGACAGATGCTGCAGTGTAGGGCAGGTGACTTAGGAGAAAAGTATATGGCCAACGGATTATTTCAAATTTGGCAATTTAATGCTGAATCCCTTCCTCTCCTACAGAGTGTCTCCTACACTATGCTGGGCTCAGACAGGAACAGCTGGCTGAGGGCACAGGGAAGCTCTTAGTATCAGCACTTCCTTGGATTTTTTCTTGTACAGAATTTGGAGAAAGGGTTTGGAGGCAACTAGGATGCGGGTTGAGAACGTAGGGACCTAAGTTTCAATAAGGAAACAGCCTCCTGGGGAACACCATGAGTGCAAATCCACAGCCATTTCAGCTGCCTATGGAAATGAAGGGATAGAAAGGAGAATACAGAAGTCCTAATAGAACAGATACAAAGAGAATGGAAAATAGACACCAGGAAAAATAAGTCAGGGAGGGCAACCAAACTAAAATTAGGGAGAAAATGGAGGTAAGGACTGGGACCACAAGAAGCACATGGATTCTACCCCATCTCTTCTTTCCCCACCCTCACCATCTCACTAATGGAGCACATTTCATTCTGTATTCATTTTTTCTTAATTTCTGACACGATAATGCCATAGGTTTACTAAACACTTCATGCTCAGCTAAAGTTAGGACCATTCACTATATGTTATATATGTTCACTCTTCTGCAGAATGGATGGAAAAGTCAGCTTACATGTTTGAAGTTCCTAAATGGCACAAACTGGACAATGTCTCGAAGCACAGGCTCGCCCTTGGGAGACCTCAGGATCCCATCATCACCGTCCAGCATCTGCATGTCACTAAAATCGGCGTTCCCCACCCCGACGATGATGACTGACATGGGAAGGTGAGAGGCGTGGACGATGGCCTCTCTGGTGTCAGCCATGTCTGTGATGACGCCATCCGTCAGAATCAGCAAGATGAAATATTGCTGAAGTTGTTGGACAAGAAGTGAAAAATTATGTCATTAGTTAATCTTCCAAAGGTGCTTGCCCTTTTCTAACTGTCACTCATGAACTTTTTAAATAGAAAAGACGCTTTATATTGACTCAAAGGTTAAGTGCATTTCCCATCCAAAACTCCTCAGCTACTAATTTCTCCTCTTCAGGAGTTCAGCTCTAGTTCAGGTAATTTCCAGGAGCTGGAGGAAGCCAAGGGATGCACAGTGTAGAAAAGGGGGTTTCTGGCTGCTAGGGCTAGGAGAGTCAGGACTTTGGCTGGGAAGTCTGGAATAGTCCTGAGATCCTCGCTAGCCCAATTTTCCATCTGCTGCACAATCACTTCTGCTGACAGTTTCCAATTACACTTTTTTTCCCTTTGGGAACCAGTGAGAAGCAGGGAGGAATGGGGTACTGAAGCGTTACAAGCCTGTAGCAGAGCTGTCAGGGAGGTTATGACAGCACTTTGCAGAGGAGCTTTGCTAACAGGCAAGTGGGATGAGTGTAGCCATCTGCAAACTGGAGGGTGACCCACTGGTGCCTGTGGGAGAAGCACCACACCATAGCAGGTCTACTGCATTCTGCAGAGTAATGAGGTCCTCAAGGAGAGCAAGGGCATGTGCAGGGAGGAATATGTGCATTTTCAAACACTTCATGCAGAGCCCTGAAGAGAGGTTTTGTCATTCTCTAAAGGAGAGTAAGCAATTTTGCACGCTTGTCATTTCTTCCCCAAAACTCCAAATCCT